TGCTTAGAGGGTAATTTTGACTCTCACTATTCAGTCAGTAAGACAGCTTTGTCCCTCACCGAATGGCAGTTTTGACTTTCATTTGAATTATTCCGTAAAGAACCAAAAAGATTCAAGCTCTTCTTTCTCCACCCCCCCCCAAATTCCACCAGAAGAACTTCTCATTTAAATCTTTGCCCCCACATTTGATTTCTCATTTGTGATTCAAGTGGGGGGAGTTGGCTGTCAAACCCTGGCCGGGGCATTTTTCAAGATCACTGCTGCCCTGTGTCTTTTCTGGGAGCAGGTAGGCCTGTCCCTGGCTCTGTGATCAGCCCACAAGCCCCTCCACCCCAGCTTGCCTCTCTGGGGGTGTCTTCTCAGAGCTCAATTCAAAACCTTGGTGCTACTGAGGGAGCAGTGGGCCAACACCCTTCATGATCCATCTGCGAAGACTGTGCCCCAAAGTCTCTCGTTAAAAAAAAAAAAGCTTTTTCAGATTTTTTTTTTTCAGATTTTCTTTTAGTAACCGTAGATTAAGCTGCAATGTGCCAGAGAATTACCTCCCACTTTGTTTTCTCTGGCTCAGTGGTTTTCAACCAATGATGATTTTATACCCCAGGGGACATTTGGCAATATCTGGAGACGTTGTCAGCTGTCACAACTGGAGAGGTGGCGGGGGGAATACTGACATTCTAGTGAGTAGAAGCCAGGGATGCTGCCAAACACCCCTCATGTTCAGGACAGCCCCCCAACAAAGAAGCATCCAGTCCCAATGTCAGTTACTGCTGAGCCTGAGAAAGCTTTCTCCAGGTGTGAGGATTCAGACATTGTGAAATAAGACCATTTGTGGAGAAGATCTGGACTGAAGATCTTTCTCTTTCTGTTGAGAAAGATAATAATATTAAAGAATATTTTAAGACAAAGATATCCATAAGAAAATTTTCTGTTCAGCATGTAATCTTCAACTTTGACCCAAATGAAGGTAGATGCTTGTAAGATTCAATTTTCTATATGTTACATATATTCTATTTTATATGGATTATATAAATAGATTAGTCTGTGTTCCTGCATCCACTTAAAAATATCCTTTTTATTGTCTCTATCCTTTAGAAAAAATTTTATTTATGCATACAGAACTGGGTACAGGCTAGAGGTGCAGGGGCGGCGAGAGGATTCACCAGAGACAAAGTGGGGAGCAGAACAGGCCGACTGACGAAGTACACTGCTGAGGGGAGCGGCAGGCGAGACAGGAGAGGTCTGCCACAATTTGTGGATCACCTCCGGAGCAGGGATCAAACTCATGCTGAAAATGGCCTGAGCCCTGACCCGTGTAGGATGTAGGGTCCAGAAAGCTGGAGTAGGGGTGGAGTCCATGAGACTCTGCAGAGTTCCTTTAGGACATCCCGCCCCTTAACAATTCCCCCCTTTTGTACACGGTGAACATAGCAGTTAATTAAAGTACTTTTGGGCTCTGTACCATGGAGGGCCTTACCATGGGCACCTCCTGCACCGCATCCCAGCCTCCCCCTCAGCAGCCTCTTCTTGCACCTCTCTCATCTTGCTTGCCATTGCCACCTACCCACTGGCCCTGGATGGCTCAGACTGAGTTGCATAGAGCAGCTCAGATCTCCTGAGTCTTCACTCCCAAAATCAGGTCTTGGTTTCCCGTTGGCATCTCAAAAATAGCAAACCAGAAGGCCTTTAATTGAATCTGCATGTCTAGAAAGCAATCTTTGTGGTTAATGGTAATTTATTTTCTTCTTATACATCTAGGTAAGTTTTGTCAACTCCTTTGCTAGCTGTTTCTGAATGTCAGCCTGGCTGTGTGGCCGCACTGTGGCCGCATGTCTGGGAGGGGCAGCCCCTTAGCTGGATCAAAAGGGTCAGTTTTTTTTTTTTTTTAAAGATGTGTTTATTCATTCACACAGAACCGGGGTATAGGCCAGAGATGCGGAGGGTGAGAGGATTCACCAGAGACGCAGCCGGGAGCAGAACAGGCAAATCGATGAAGTACACTGCTGAGGGGAGCAGCAGGTGGGTCAGGAGAGGTCTGCTGCGCCATGTGGTCACCTCCGGGGCAGGCGGGGATCGAACTCATGTGGAAGTAGCTTAAGCTTCTTAGTGCTGTGCTTTAACCCGCTGAGCCACCAGGGAGGGTCAAAAGGGTCAGGTTTTAACTCGAAGGCTATTTGGACTGAGGCGCGGCCAGTATTCTGCCTTGGTTTCCAATTTCCTGCTCTCTTCCTCTGAATTCTTCAGCCTGACACCTCACCTTTATTCTACCTTATTTTTCAGAGTCCCTTTCTCGCTTGGTCTCTTGTACTTGGCCTCTGCTTATAAGATTCTGTTGGGCAGACGAGAATCGGCCACTGCTTTGGGGTCCCTGGGTGATGGTTCCTTGGTGCCTTTTCCAATTTGTATTATTGCCTTGGCTACTTTTTAGACTCCATGTAAACCATCATGATAAAGTCTTTCTTTGATCCCCAAGACCTCCTGGGAGTTAGTAGATGTTTCATAATGTTGTCAACAGTTCCCAGATTCATTTATTCCACAAAGTCACTCACTCAGCAAATGTTCATTGCGTGCTTGGGCTAGGAGGCCAGGACACAGCTGCAAACAAGAGAAAATGCTTGCCCTCTTAGAGTTCATTTGGAGTCATGGTCAGGGCCAGGGGGTGAACTATTTCAGCCCCCAAATATATGTTGGGGACACCAGAGCAACATGCTCCGGTTTTAGAACTAAAATAAATCCTTATTAGGGTTAAATGTGCAACAGAAACAATGAAACTACCTGGTGAGGTTTTCTTCACCTCCACACTCACCTCTGTTTCTACCCATCAGCCACCGTTGTTCAGAGAGGAAACAAAAGAGACCATTTATCTAATCCTCTGTCAGTGATTTGAGTGTTGGCGCTGCTAAAACTTACTTCCTTGGAGTCATTCTGTCTGCAGTGAAAAATAGGATATTCTAGCTTTTCAAATTAGAACTCTAAAATGTGAATTTCCTTGTCATTCGCCTTGAGACAACCAGATCATGTAATGGTGTAGGTGAGAGAGAGAGGAGGAGGAAGAAATGTTGGAAGACAAAGTATTTTGCAATGTCTCATTCTAAGTAAAAGCTTGATGTTCCTCCGATTCATTATGTGAGTAAAATGTCACTCCAAACCTTATGAATCAACTTTTCCACTTTAGTTTCTCTTGGTCATACTGTGCCCACTCTGATGAGAGACTTGGCAAAGAGAGCAAGAAAAATAAGTAAGTGAATACAATGAAGATTATTTCCTGAGAAAATCAGGTAGAGAGATTCTCATTTCTCCAAGCATTCAACATCACGATAAGTGAATAAAAAACATTACTGGAAGCAGTTTATTCTAAACATTACTTTTCTAGGTTATCCACTTAACTCAACCTCTGAGATTTATAGTTCAGCCATACCAGTTCACAGAGGAAAGAAAAAAGGCCATTTATCTAATCCAATTCCTTAGGAAAAAGTACTTAGGCAATATTAAGAATCTTCAATTATCTAATTTAATAAAAGGGATGATTTATATGCTGCAGTCAGTAACATGTGATACTGATTATTTCTAATCCCTTAGAAGAGATATGACATTTTGTGTTTGGTTCCATATAGCGTGAAATCATCATATATATTTTACCAAAAGAAGTAAAAAGAATAATAGCCTCCAACGTCTGCAATCACTTTATACTAACACTGCAACAAGGTTTTGCCCTGGGGCATTGAAATAGAGATTTTCTTCTGCTTCAAAAGAATGAAAAATTATCATCACTCTATCCAGAACTGTTACAGACTTCAGAGACATTGACATGAAATATTCAGAAAGTTTATTTTAGAATTCAATATTTTAAAAGCCTGCTTTAAAATGATTACAGTGATTAGTGACTCTGTTCCATGGGCCAGTGCTTGCTTTAAAAAGCCCTCTGTCGGGTCTGGTACCATTTGTTGTTTCAACAGAAAAGAGTTTGCGTCAACCACAGAAGCGCCACGCTAGGGCTGTAATGCATTGTTTCAGAAGGGCCCCCCAAGGGGAGCGTCAGTTATCCTTCCAAACGCGCCTTTAAAGCAAACATCACTGCTTAGCGTTGAGCCTGGGGCTTAAGCCCCATCTCTGTGCTTCCCGCGTTGCCCTCATGTGACACGTGTGCCCTCAAGTGGCACATGTGCCATGTCTCTGTTGAGGCGGCACTGTCTGTCTCCACCCGTCCTGTGGACACACCGGAATGACCCTCTCAGGCCAGCCACGCCCTCAGCCAACCACCCAGAAGCTCATTCCGAAGAGAAGCTGATGGGTGTTTGTGAAGTTTTAATACAGCTTCGGATTCCAGTGGCAACTTCTGGAGCTAGAGTTAGCCTTGTGGGAATTGCAAGCAAATGCTCCTTCCCAAAGAGCCTATGGAGGAGGGGAGGTAGCTGGGAGTCCGGTGTGGCACCCTGGGTCCGGGGGTGCAGCTGTCCTGATTCAGCACCAAGTCAGCTACTTCCCAGCAGCCGGGTGTTCAGAAGCTGGTGGGCATCTCCAACCTCTCTACCTGCGGAATGGACCCACCCCAGCGTCTGTGTGCAGGTTCAGTGACAGAATTGTAAAGGCGTGTGATGGGATGTCAGTCATCATTCTGGCCATATTATGATTTCCAAAATGTTTTCCTTATTTCATTTTGGTTTGTTCCATATTTCTTTTGGATAGTGTTTATGAGTGTCTGCATTGATAAGGCACATGAGGAATTTGCAGGATGCCTAGAAAAACTGTCATTCCTGATTTTTTTATCTAACCTGTGCATCTGGCTTCAGTCCTTTGTGTTGCTGTATTGTTTCTGTGCATCTTAAACAAATACCTTTTCCTTCCTTCCCCACTTTATGTATTACTAGGCGCCATTCTTCACCTGCAAGGATAAAACAGGTGCCGCTCAGGTAGATGTGCAAAAGCATAACGACCCTGATGTGCTCTGATACCTACCTGCTGATGAACATAACCTGTACACAACCTTTTGTTTCCTTTTTCAGGGAAGTAGATCAAGACTCAGATGGTTTTGTTAGCTTCGGGGACTTCGAAATTGCCATCAACTACGGACAAAAGGAAGTCAAGAAGTCAAGCTACTGTGAACTCTTTGGGACCTCCTGGGATGATTAACAGATGGGGACATATTTGCAAGTTCATCAGACCCCATTCAGGATGGGAGGCTACTCCTTAGGATTAAACTCTTCTGTCCGGCTTTTCTGGTGCTGATAGTTGCTTGCATCTCAGGATTCCATAGGTGGTCTTTACCACTGGTCTTCCCAGTCACTGGTAGCCGAGTCAGGCTGCTGCAGCTGGCACTGCCAGGGGGCAGCCTCACCCCCACACTGCAGGCTGGTGCTGCATGCATTTGCTAGTCCTACACCCGACCCTCGGGCTCCTGTTTCTCATCAGTCCCTAAAGTCTGTACAGGGGTAACATTTTCCTGCCCATGGTACTAATTTCCTTCATGAATTCAAGTTTTGAGCAAATCACAGCACCTACATGACTGTGTGCTTCCTGCGTGCCCAGCAATGAGTAGGCGGTGGGGTAGCCGAACTGCAGACTTTCCTAAATCATGTATCCAGAATTGCAATCATCCTTGCAAAGACATCCCAGGACCCTGCTGTGCAAGACAAAGAAAGCCAGCTGGGCCATTCTTCTCTGGCCCTGGAGCACAGAACAGGTGCCAGGGACAAAGGCTTACTTCTGAAATCCTTTTGGATGGCTGGGCTGGCATCCTGTGACCCAGCCACCAGGCCTGGTTGTCCAGCTGCCTCTGCTCCTCCCGCCTGCAGCTGGATGGATTCTCTCTGTGCCAAGAGCCTTAACCACCTTGTCTTCGCATTCTCTATGCTTTGCCCATCTACCTTGGTATCAGGGGACTGCTGTACTGGATGGAAGAAAAACTGTCACACAGACTTTCGGTATTTATTTTAAACAGTATCCATATGTTATGTTCAGAACTCATAATATTAGCAACATTAGAGGAACAACTAATATAATACCATTTTTTAAAAGTAGTAAGCATTTAAAGGTCAAGTTAAAATGTAAATGTGTAAAAGAGAAACAGTAAATAAACATCCTTGCAACACCAATAATTAGGAGATAAACAATAAAAACATCTTAAACTCTTGTAAGAGGAGCCTAAAGAGGCATAAAAAGTAACTGAGATTTGGGATTCTGGCTGGGATCCTGGGACAGAAAAGGAACACTAAGTGAGCACTATTGAAGTGTGGACTTCTGGGCCCTCCTGGTGATGCAGTGACTTCAAGTGCAGCACTATGAAGCTGTCTGCAGCCACTGCGGCACAAGTTCTCTCCCCAGCCAGGGAGGTGACCCACGTGGAACAGCAGATATCTCCTGACCCTCCTGCCACTCCCTTGTTCTGCTCCCCACTCTGTCTCTGGTGAATCGTCTCACACCCCCACCCCAATGCTTCTGGCCTATACCCCAGTTCTTGTGTACATAAATAAATAATTTTTAAAAAATATATAGGGGCCCTCCCTGGTGGCACAATGGGTTCAGACACAGTAATGCAAGCTGACCATAGCCGCTTCAGTGCGAGTTCAATCCTTAGCCCCAGAGGTGACCCACAGGGCGTGACAGACCTCTCCTGACCCACCCACTGCTCCCCTCAGCAGTGTACTTCGTCAATCTGCCTGTTCTGCTCCCCACTCTGTCTCTGGTGAAGCCTCTCACTGCCCCTGCACCTCTGGCCTGTACCCCAATTCTGTATGAATAAATAAATCTTTTAAATATATATATAGAAAGAGAGAGAGAGAGACGTCTATTAATACTGAATCATTAGTGGCTCATTAATGGTGACAAGTGTACCGTGCTTACATAAAATGCTAAAAATAGGGGAAACTGGGATTTTCTGTGCTATCTCACAATTTTCCTCTAAATCAAAAAAATTTCAAAATTAAGTTGGTTAAATCAATTCTCATTCCATAATTGCATTATCTAAAGTAAAGAAGATGTTGACGATCATGAAGAAGTCCAAGTGAAAAACATTACATAACAAAGTGGATCGGCACCATCATTGAGTATCATGTACGTTTTAGTTACAAACTGTTCCAACTTATGAAAAACCCTCTCTGGCTTTCAGTGGAGTTTTGTCCAGCAAGTATTGTCATCATAAACTCAATAGTTGAGTCACTAATCCTCTTCTCAATACATAAGTGCCATTGATTTTCCATTTTCTAAATATCACAAATGGAGTCATCCCCCAAGCAAGTATCTGTATTTCAGTAATTGCCAAAATATCAAACCTGCATATTGCAATCACTACTTGGACCTTACATCTCCTAGAAAACAGGGCAAGAGAAAGAAGCGGGTCAGTTCCTCCAGCTGACATGGAGGCAGAGGCATGGACCAGGAAGAGCTGCTTGGCAACTCCCTTGGCCCTAGTGAACCCAGGCTCTCTTGGGCCCCGAGGGCAACTGTCTACCCAAACTAGCCTACACTAGAGAATCGTGGGGCACTTACGCCGTCTACAGGGGACAGGGCAGTGGGCAGCTAGCTTTCAAGATAACTACTACAGATTCATCAACACAAGTACCGCCCAGCTCTGCCTCTGCCCCATAGTCTTCATCAGCTTTATAGAATGGCCTGTGAGCTGTTCCATTTCCCTGCTGCTCCCCTCAACAGTGTTTTCCACTACACCTGCCTGTTCAGCTCCCCATTCTGTCTCTGGAGAATCCTCTTACCTTGCCCCACCCCACCCCGATTCACAGAGACAGAACAGGCAGATCCAGACTCTGGCTGGTCCTTAAATGCACCGACTATTTTTACATGGCCACAAGGTACTTGCCCAGGTGTGCTTGGGTGGGTCACAGAGAGGGAAAGTTGGTAAGAGCTAAGCGGCCATTTCCTTTTCTTAGAAGAAAACTGTATGACTGGGACCTAGTCCTTTTTTTTATTATTTAAGATTTATTTATGCATAAAAGAGTTGGGGTGCAGGCCAGAGTTGCGGGGTGGGGTGGGGCCAGGTAAGAGGATTCACCAGAGACAGAATGGGGAGCTGAACAGGCAGGTGTAGTGGAAAACACTGCTGAGGGGAGCAACAGGGAAACAGGAGAGGTCTGCTGTGCCATGTGTGTCATCTCCCTGGCTGGGAATGGAATTCATGCTGCAGTGGCTGCCTACAGCTTCATAGTGCTGCGTCTTAACCCCTTGCACCACCAGGGAGGCCTAGGGACCTAGTCTTGAAGGGGAACCCCTAGGACCTGCTGCTTCATAGGATAAGTAGCTGCTCATGTCATTCTCCCTCCTGATCATGCCCAAATCTTCATCCCTCAGCTTCCCCCTTGCAGGTACCTTGTCCCCAGCCCACATGATGCCGCCTTGTTGGCCTGATCTCTCTTGGTTGAATAACAAGGCAAATGCCATTGACCAGCTGGGTGTGTCCCTTTGGGAGACATCCAGAGTAAGCATGAACGAGACAGCAGCACTCCCATGAATGGTTGAGTGTGTGGGTCTCTCTCAGGAGCTAGTGGCAGACATGGTCTCCATCACATGGCCTAGAAAACCCAGGCAGTCACTCTGCAGTAAGAGCAGAAAACAAAATTGACACCAAGAGGGGTATAAGAAAGGAGCCAGAGAAACTGTGGTGCTTGTTTTCTGGTTAGAGCTAGTGCACAAGGCCCAGTCTAACCCTCGGGTCTTGTGAGGTAACTTGTCTCCTTCCAATATGTCTTTCTACTTAAGCCAGCTTGAGTTGCTTTCTGTTATTTGAAACCAAAAGAACCCTGTTAGGAGCACAGAGCCAAAGATGGTGTCTAGGTAACATCAACATTGACTGGGGCAGTAGAAAAATGTCTTCTTAAGAGACTAAGAAGTAGCTCTTGAAGATGGAAGGGGAAGCTGTCACCACCTCTCTGTCCCTGATTTCTTGCCCCTATTTATCCTTTCCTTATAGTTATCAGTTCTTCTGTTCCTCAGTGTCAAGAGGCCACCAGCGATCTATTCTTGGCCAAACCCATCCAGGCCATCTCAGGCCAAATTTGTCTCTTCTCCTGGGGCAGTATGACAACCAGGTCTTTGCAGTCCTTCTCTATAGCCCCACAACACTGCTCTCTTGTGGCTTTTCTGTGCTCATTTTTCCTTGCTGTCGTTCCTGTTTCCCCCAGCCATGGCGTCAGTGTTAGTATTCTCCAAGGCCCTGTAATCGGCTAGTTTCCTTGATCAATACCTTCTCAAAGATGATTTCATTCACTGTCAAGATTACAGTGTGCCCCCATTATGGGTGTGACTCCACAAAACTATCTTTGTCTTTTGTCTTGACCTCTGCTCAGCTCCAGACCTGTGTTTCCATTGGTCGTTTGGACATTTCCACATCAAGACAGACTCACGGAACTCAAGTCAGACTCTCTGATATCTTGAATTTTCAAAACTGGTTTCTCATTCTGCGTTTTCTGTTCCTGCTCATGGCAACCACACCTTCCTCCAGCCCAAGCTGTCATCCCAGCCAACTGTCTCAGGATTCTCAACTCTTCCCCATCCTTCTTCATGTGTCTTTTTTTCATTCAGTCACTGAATCCTTTTGAAACTGTGTCTGCAATGACTTTCCTGATATTTCCTTCCCATCCACCACGACCTCCCCGCCCATGCTTTTATTCCTGTTCCAATCCTTTTAAGCAGTACTGTGCTCTATTTCTTCATAAGAAGATGAGTAAAGGATGTGTCAATAAGTAAGAAATAGACCGTGCTGTTGAGAAATTTAGTCTAGCATGCCAATTCTCTTCCCAAAGTACAGACAAAATTATTTTTTCTCAGTTCAAAATATTCTTGGGAGCCACCTTTCCTATAGGATGATGTCTACATCCTAAATATGTCATTCAAATCCTTCTGCAATCTGGTCTCAACTTACATTTTCAGCTTCATCTTTCACAACTACCTCTATCTTTCCACTCCACAACCCGATAACTCTCTCTCTCTCTCTCTCTCTCTCTCTCTCTCACACACACACACACACACACACACACACGTCCCTCAGCCTAAAAACACCAACACGGCCACCATATTCTACTTTACCCAAGTAGAAAAGTAACAACCTTGGAACTAATATCTGATGAGATGATAGAAAATGCAAACATGAACTAATAAAATTCAATTTGAAAAAAGATTTGACCCCCTTCATCCTAATGAATAATTTTTCACCTCAAAGTTGTCACCTTCAGAAGAGGTCAGGAAGACACAATTATGCTGGGGCATTTGTATTTATTTTTTCTTGAAAAGTTATTGAGATAGCTATTAGTCATCCTCTTGAATAAAATGACAAGACAGGTCTCAGCCTTAAAGTACTTAGTTCAGGCCAAGTGATGGGGATGGGTGTAGAGTGTCAGGGCTGTGACTCAACCTGGTAGCTGGCCTAAGCACAAGTTCCTTTTGTTATGCTACATTGCCTCTGGTGGGGAAAGCAATTTGATTGGCAAGGATGTTGTTCCTTCACCCAGTTTATCCAGTTCTACTGGCTACCCCCAAGTGAAGCAGCTAGCACAAAGTAGGTATTAAATATTCATTCCCATCTTACACACCACCCAGCTTAACCCAAATTATATTGGGTTATTAATCAAAGCCACTTTCAGAAGACAAAGATGTGCTACCAGTGAAAGTATCTTTTAAAATATGCTGCAGGCTGTAAAGACAATTTTCCAAAGAGATGCTGTGGAGAGATGCTCTGAGTAATGGAAGCATTTCTGAAATAGATGCATGTTCTCATTGCAACACTCATGTGTTTCACCCATCACTACTTACTGATGTGATCACACTTTGCTTGTGGAACTGTAATTTAAGGTTAATAAAAACAAGCTGTTGGTTACTTTCTTTTTCTTAGCTTGTAACTTTTAAGAAAATATGTTTAGAAGTGCAGAATGAGATAGTTAAAATACACGAGTTGAAATTTAATAGCATTAGGGATAACAGCTCACCAAGAGAACTTTCTTACAAAACACATTTATATTGGCTTGGCCACCTGGATTGAAAAATATCTTAAAGCAATTTGCCACAATATAGTATGGAATACTCAATCTAAATTTCTCTTAGATTGCTAAATTGGCAAAATATTCAGAAATATGAGTAACATTACTCTAGTGTCATAGAAAATGCAGATTGATTTGACTAAAAACATAAACTAATATCTAAATCTACTCTTTATTTTATGATTTATTGATCTTTGAAGGAGAGCAAAATAGTTTTCTATATAAGTAACTTTAGTAAACAATTTCAATAATATTGAATTTATTGAAAAAAATTGGCCAACAGTCTGGAAATACCTCACAAGTGTTATAAGAGAAACTACTC